GTCATTTGGTGTTTCTCATTTTAAGCTATCCATGCATTTTTTTGTTCAAATAATTTTTTGATTCTAGGCAGTCCAATTTCTTCATCAAGGTAGATTTACTCTAAAATTTGATTGAATATAATGTTTTCTTTGTTTTTTGCATATGTAATTGCAGATATGTTTTATACATATATCGATAGTTCATCAGTTGAGGTTAAATAATGATAAACTAGCCATTTCAGGACACCCATTATTTCTTAACATCTTTCAAACTTAAATTTTGATTGATAATAATATATCGATTAGATCCAAAACCAAATCAGAGGTTTTAACAATTTTGTAAATTTCCATTTGCATTTAAGCTTACTTTTGAAATCACCATGAGCTTCAACTTATTATACTAAAAATATCAAATATCTTAAAGCTTCTGAATTATTTATTTCTTCAATTAATTGAGAACATTAATCATCCTTTGATTCAAAATATCTATTAAATAAATTTGTAGCCGATAAAATATATTAACATAATTTAGAGACTCTTCTACCTTTACTTTAAAGTATTATTTTGGTAATATCATAGGATAAAATAGCAAATTTTAACTTCTCATTAGGCTTTATCTCGGCATAATAACTTTACAATCTATATGCGATCATTACGTTTTTCAAATAAATTTCAAATTCTTTGGTTAATATGAAAGGAACTGTAATTTAATCTAACTTTAGTTATCCACTGGTATTTATAATTTAAATTTATTATTCTAATTAATCCTTAAAAATGGAATTTCTTAATTGTTCTCTAATTCTTTGTTTAGGATCTGCAGTAGCCAATTCTAAATTTGAATTAATTTTGGATATGAGAATAGGATAGATTTCTTTGTATTTAGTAAGTTTCTATTTCCAGACTTTAATGTCAATTAGGTTTTTTCTGGACATATCTTTGAGTATGGATTTCTTAAATATTTTATTTAAGGCCATTAGCAGTATATTTAAAAAATGAATTCTATCATTTAAATGAATCTAATTGGTATGATCGTAACGATCTAAAAATTTGGATAATAACGTGTAAACTTTTTTATATTTTTTCTAATAATGATACTTTTTATACTTTTTCATAGAGCTGAATGACTTGTTTATTGATATTCTCGAATTAGCTTTGTACAGACTATAATTGAGTTGGATTAAGAAATAAAACTTATTCATAATTATCCATAATGATAATAATAATAATAATAATAAATAAAATCAACTTAAATTATATGAGATGGCTTGCTATTGCAAAGATTTCAAAACTAAATTTTCATAATCTTCTAAAGTAACTTTTCCATCTCCATCAGAATCAGTCATATGTATCCAACTTCTCACATCATCAGCTGTTGGTTCATATTTCATACCTAAATTTATTTTGAATAGATACCCATTTATCTATATGTTTCCCTGATAATTTCAAAGACTTCATCCTCTGTGATATACCCTGATCCATCAGCATCAAGTTTTTTGAATAAGGTTCTCGCCACTTATAAACGCTCTTCAATATAATTTGGTTATCTAAAATTACGAACAAAGTCTCACTTATTCACTGATTATTATTGCTTGAATTGATAGGAAGTTCCGCAAAACTTTCTTAAACAATATTATTCAATATCCTACAAAGTTAATCGATTTTAAGCAGTTTCTAAGAGATAAGATTAAGATAATTTACTGTTAATAGCTTTCATGTATCCATTGGTTTCATTAACTTTAGGCTTTGTAACAATGTTTTAGGATCGATATGCATCTGTAAACATTGATCCTATATCGACTACATCGATGTATCCTTTATTGCTAACTATAGAGATCATTAAAGAATTGTTTACGATCGTAAGTTGAGAAGATCTTTCGAGCAAGCATTCTGCACCCATCTGCATCTAAGATTCCACCATATGGTGTAGAAGGCATGTTATAAGGATTTGTCATACTATTCAAAGTATTCATAATTAACGAACTATTTATGTTATTTTATTAATAATTTAAATAAATGCCATTCTACTTTTAAACAAAGCTTATGCACATATTTATATATAATATTATTCACAAATCTTCCATTTGAGTTGGGTAATTATTTATGGTTTTAATATATGCCAATAATAAAATTAGTAAAAATATCCCAACTACAAATGACGTATTTATTAAAATTGTTTTCGAAAACTAAATAAAGTGAAACAATCTTCTTGGTGCTTTATTATTTTAATGTATGATCTTTTCTTCTTAAAAATACTATGATTCACCTATCTAATATTTCTATGGAGATGGAGATTTAGTCTTTATTATTTACTCTCCTAATTGATGATCACTTTTTTAAATAAATGTATTATCACTAAAGAATAAATTCATTTTATCTGCTTGTTATTTACGCTTAATCTCTTCATCAGTATATTTAGAAACATCAGAAACTAAGATAAAAGATCTGATTTTATTCTTGGCTTTCTGAAATGTTTTAATTGCTTTCATAGATTTTATCATTTTTTCTGATACAGAAACACTTTGTTTCATCTGTTCCTCTTAACAATTTTCTACCTCTTCATATGATATTGTGAATCCATCAGCAGCTTTTTGAAAAATGTTTAAAATCTCATTTGTTTTTATAAAGTAAATCTTCTAATCTATTGTCACTTCTTCTCCATTATAACATTCAGTTTTATTTTATTTTTAGTTCAACTAAACTAATTTTAACAATGGCAACAAACTGTCCATTTACTTATATTGTTTTTTATATGATTCTTTTTTGGATTCAGAAGGTACTCTTCTAATCTATAGCAGTTTATTTGGAGAATTTCTTTAATCGCTTCTATTTGAATTTAATTTCAATTTCAAGCATTTTCCAAGACCAGAATAAGATGCTTGAGACTTTTGTGACAAAATAGAATCCAACATAGGATTTGGTAATTCATCACCCTCTTCTGTTACTGAATATTTAGGGTTTGGAGTGATAATAATTTAAGGTTGAGTAGAACATTTCATTAATCTGTAATTTAAATATATAAAATAATATTATACCATAATTACTATAAATGTTATTCACTAGAGAGCAATCAAATCATATTTATCAATCATCTTGTCTTACTAGCATAATTATCATATTCTTATTATGAATTGAATCTAATATCTATTTCATAAATAAGGTAAATAAAATTATTTAATTAAAAGAATAATTATGGATAATTTGCAATTAACCAGTTTCAAAGAATAAACCACAATTGTTTTGATGCCTTATCATCTTAAAAATATATCAAAATCAATTTAGAATGTGATTCCAAAGATGATTTTTACATGCAGAATACATAATTCAATTCCTGTAATTTTGTAATTAATTTAGAGTATTGTCATTGCTGTTAAGAAAGTTAACATAGTATCTGAATATCTTGAGACATTTGACGATCAACCATAAATGTTCATTGATATTGAATATACAGTAACATTATTGTAATTGCACTCAGGTTAATATAATATATATTTCTTAGGATCTTTAGTAAAAGGGAGATTGGTTCAATAATTTAAATCACATATGATTGTTTAGATCTTCAATATATTCAATGTTTTAATTCCAGAGGATGAAATAAATGAAAAGTCATTCATTTGGAATGAAAATTTCAATGCCTTCATGAATAGTATTAATCTACGCATATTACTTTAGAATAAAATGAGATATTGGAAAATCAAATAGAATTATAAATTAAAATCACAGAAGTCATTTTAAACGAAGCTGATTAAAAAGAATTCCAGATTAAGGGATCCTTAAAGGAGAGAAAGTAAACAGGATAAATAGAGTATCTTGAAAATTAAATTGGGGATTAAACAAAAATAGAAGGAATTATTGCAAAATCCCTTGATTGTATAAATTGATATCTAAATTTAATTCTGTTGATCATATTAAATTTGCTATTTATAAAAATAATACAATTGTTAGATGAAATTTGTTTCTGACATCCTCAATAACTTCAATCTAATCTATTTTGTCAAACTAAGAATAAATATAAATCTTTAGTTGCAACCTAATTTAGATTAAAAGACTAAAGGAATGATAAGTATTTTTATTATAGAAAATATAACAAAACTCATTGAAAATAAAGGAGATCTTCGTCTTCTGGATCTGGGCCAATAATTTTCCTTGATTTAAGATAATATAACTACTCTAAGTTTTCAGAATCCAAAACTTATTTAGAAGATTGTGCATTTAATTCATCTTTTCCAAAATTGAATTGGACAACACTTCTTCCAAGCTAAATTTCGATTCCATTCAATTCTTGTATTAATGGTATCACTTTTTGTTTTATTAATATCAATGATCCAAATTTTGATCTATTATCCATCAAATACAATTTTCCATTATATAATTTAAGAATTCCATGATTTCTACTTACAGAAATATCATTTATTTTAATTTCCATTTCATTGGCTCTTCCAATCTATAACTAATTAGTTTTTATAGTTTTATCATCACCATTATTATTAAAAGTGATTATGTAGACTCCATTACATTATGTCCAATTCTAATCTTGAATTGTCTAATTGTTTCTTGCATCCTTAATGATATCTTAAGTATTTACTTAACGATGATTCTGAATGATTTCCATCAATACATAATTTTGATCTATTGGTTTACTCAACTCAATCAAATCAAAATGATGTTCATCGCTTTTAAAAATCGGTGGATAATTAAACTTACATATTTCACATTCTAAATCTTTCCACATGTAGATCATGCAATGATTACTGTGTTTAGTCTGGAATTTCAATTTTAACCACTTCTTTAAACAATTCAGATGAATATATTTGATCGATCCAGTACATTTACAAGGGTTAATCAATGGATTCTATAAACTATCAGAGCTACTACAACATATTCTACATAGAATACTATCAGATTGACTCAATCCACCTGAATCCGAATCGCGTCTAAGAGTTATAAATAATATAAAAATATACAATAACTCTCTATTATTTAGTTGAATTTCACTAATTTTAAATTTAACTCTTCCAAATTTTAATAGATAACCTTATTTTAATTTTATTCCAGTATTCTTAAACTTTATTAGATCGATCTAACTCT